AAAATGCAAGGTGCTTCTTTCCCGTGCAGCAGCAGATGTGAAGGATAATTCCCAGGTGGGGCCGTGTCTTCACCCTGGAAGAAAATAGATACCCTCCTAAGTAGGGCTACACTGGAAGGGTCTCAGACTGGCTCCAGGCATTAAAAGTTGCAACTGATTCCCAACTGGCTGTTGAAGACACCTCCCCCAGACACTGCACTGTTGAGGTCTCCTTCCCCAGCAGCTCCTTCTCCTCCAGGTCTTTCAAAGCCAAAAATCTTTGACCTGGGCCCTGGGTCTACCCTCACGCTTGAAACTTGATGTTACTTTGATGTTACTTCCTGGAGGGGAAACTGGATGTCTTCCTGCTATGTCCTGGATTCTGGCTGGGGCTGAAGATAATCCTTGCTTGGGACTTGGCTTTCCAGCAACAACAAATCAAGAAAAAAGACACACAGACAAAACAGTGAAGCTGCAAGTCATGACTTGACCATTCCCTTTGAGCAAGGTGGTTCCAGGCAGCCTGCCATGGCCTCTTATCCCAAACCCCAGGTACTTTTGACCAGGAGCATCTCCTGGCCCTTGGACATGGTGGGATGAGCAGGAGTCCCACAGGGTCCCTCTGCAGTGCCCCACATGGTCACCCTGCCCCAGTAACCTGCTGAACCAACGCAGTGAGCAGTCCCCAGATAAAACAGGTGTCCCGGTTTCAGCTGGGATAGAGTTAACTGTCTTCCTAGTAGCTGGTACAGTGCTATCTTTTGAGTTCAGTATGTGAAGAATGTTGATAACACTGGTGTTTTCAGTTGTTGCTCAGTAGTGTTTAGACTAGAGTCAAGGATTTTTCAGCTTCTCATGCCCAGCCAGGGCACCTGACCCAAACTGGCCAACAGTGTATTCCATACCAGGTGACGTCCCATCTAGTTTAGGAACTGGGAAGTGGGGGTGGGGATTCGCCACTGGGGGACTGGCTGGGGGTCGGTCGGTGGGTGGTGAGCAATCGCCCTGCGCATCATTTGTACTTTTCAATCCTTTTATTACTACTGTTGTCATTTTATTAGTGTTATCATTATCATTATTAGTTTCTTCTTTTCTGTTCTATTAAACCATTCTTATCTCAACCCAGGAGTTTTACTTCTTTTCCTGATTTTCTCCCCCATCCCACTGGATGCGGGGGGAGTGAGTGAGCGGCTGCGTGGTGCTTGGTTGCTGGCTGGGGTTAAACCACGACAACAGGTCAGGCTTTCTGATAAGCTGTGTAGGAGATTTGGACACGCAGTCACATTGAAATTGGCAGATGTTGGATATCGATGCCCTCTAGGACACTTACTGTTTATTTTCCATTGCATGTTAGTAAGCCCTCAACCCACTCCTTTCCCACCCTAACTGGCCCAGCACCCCAGGCTGCAACCCCTTAATTGGTTACGGGAGAAAAAAACCCGCTGGCTTGCTGAGGCATTTCTCAATATCCCAAACTCATCCTCATTTCCTTTCATTATGTCTCTACCTGTCACGTTCTTTGCGGAGAAAGGAACAAATGCATTAATTAGAGTGCAGTGAGTGCTCCCACCCGAGCCTCCCACCCCTCACTGCCTCCGCGACCTCACAGAGATTTCACTAAAATGTGTAATTAGGTTCTGCAAAGTGACTTCCTGACCGTATGCACTCTTTTCAAGTGCAGAAGCCCTCAGTGGTGGTGTGTGTTTTTCAGAGGTGCTTCAAGTACCACTTCATTTTTCTAGCTTTTCTTTACAAAGTTATATTTATCTTTTTACCAGTGCCCGAACACATGAAAGCCAAGTCCATTTCAAAAAATCTTAAAGCCCATGTCACATACTGGCCTGGATTTTGCATATTCTGAAAAAGGTGTTATAGAAAATAGCTATAAATAAGCTGTGTCGAAAAGGCTGTGCTTGTATGTGTCCGTCCTTGTACTAGTTTGCCAGAATACGTAAAGAAATTCAACCCTGAGCAGGGGTTGATTTAAACATGATCTGAAGTGCTCTGCTAACATGGGGTCTACCAAAGCTCATTCTGTGCTGAATCTGTGCCAAAGTGCTTTTCAGATAAATTATAAATTAATGGAATGCCTCTTGTGAGCTTGAAGTATTTTTCTTCTCTTCTGTTCTCCCGCTCTTCAAGCGGGGTCTGCTGGTCCAGTTATGGACTTTTTCTTTTAACCACCATTGTTGTCATGGTGGAAACGAGTTGTTGAGGAGAAGCGTTCCTCAGAAGCATCCAGACTCAAAACTGATCTAGCTTCCTTAAGATGCTTACTGCAGCCTGGAGTCCCTATCACACAAATGCCTCCTCCTCACCCAGGGTGTGCTTCAGCCTGGGCTGTGAGAGCTGCCTGGGGTCCAAGGAGCCTCCCTCCCCAGTACTGCTGGCAGGTGAAGCTGAAGACACGGGTGACAGTGTGTCCTGCTCTGGTTGTAGCTTTGTAGATCAGGGCTGAGCACCTCACCTGACAGCGAAAGCAACCTGGGAACCAGTGAAGACTTTTAGTCATGGAGGTTATACCTGCACAGCTCCTGCCTTACAATGTAGACCTCTACATTGGCAAGCTGTCTTAACCTGATACATCCTTGTGACAATTACATGGATCAGGCAGGCCAGATCCCACTCTAGGGAAAAAAAGCAAGCAAGCATTTTATGATGACCTGTTTTTTCCTATCCCCAGCGTTAGGAGATTGTTTGTACACTGACAGTAGTTCCAAAAGGGGCCACGAGCCCCGGGCAGGCAGTGCTTTTCTTGGAGAGCAGCGTTTCTGAAATGAGAAACAGACAGGGAAAATAAAGACAGGCTAAAACATACAAGCAAGGAGAGGTTGATGGGCCAGCGCTGTGGTTTCTTGTTCCTTTTGTGTAGATGGTTCCTGCCTGCACTACTGGTGCCTCACCTTAGCTCCACTTACACCTCCACACAACCTGAAGGCTTCAAAGCATAATAGTTGCTTCTAATCACAGACTCACAATACACTTTTCTTTTTTTTTTATGTTGATACAAAAAGCCAAGACACTAATAAATGCATAGAGCTACCTAGAACATTTCATTATACGCTTTTGATTTTCCAGCTTCCATTTAGGAGAAGAGCTAAATTGCTAAATCTTAAATAATGTACTTAACTACCACCTCACTAGCAGAAATTCACAGAGAGCAGGAGAGCAAGCAGTGACACCCTGGGTGCTCTGCTTTTCACACAATAAGCACATCTCTCTCTCGTTAAATCACTAACAGTGCAGATTTTGCTGTGTTTAATTACATAGTGCCCAATCCCAGATCTGAGCTTTCTATTTTCAAGCACTATTTTCTCAGGGATGCCCTAAGTAGATCTAACTAAACAAATGGGCAATTATAACATTGTTTGGATCCCTGTAAGTGGTAGGATCCCAAGGCAATGTGGATCTTGCAGTGTTTACTGGAAGCTTTGCCTCTCTGACATATTTTAGCTCCTAGGAGCTATATCCCATGTCATTCGTACCTGAGCCATTTGCCCACTTCTCAGCAGGGTTCGTTGACTTGGCCGGTGGCTGCATTGATAGGACCACTGGAGTTTTTGCTGACTCGGGAGATAGCAGAGCGAGCTTTTTCCTGCCTGTGGACATATTTATGGGTAAAACATGGGCAAGTCTTGCTGTGAGATTGTCAAGTCCCTCTAACTCAGTGGGTGTCCTATATATTTGAGGTGTCTGCATTGCAATGAGATTTTGCTGAATTTGATATGTTGGTGTTACAGAGGAAAAATCTTGGCACAAGTAGAAGGGAATGTGGGAAAAAAGCATGGCAAGAGTCTTTAAGAGATGAACTAGTAGGAGTTTCTGCTCTGACCCCTGATCCTGTTCTTAGACACCTACGTTCCCCAAAAGGTGCTGTGGGGAAATAGGGAAGCAGCTGTGACGGCAGCAACAGGCAGGGGCTGTACGTGTAGCGAGGAGCTGAAGAGAGGGTGGTTAGGCTCGGTGCTCTTTTAAGACACAGCACACCATGTAGCCCATGTAAGAGTCACACTTTTCAGGCACGCTCTTGGAAGATCTAAGCACAAGTACAAGGAGGTGGTTTGAAATTACTACATATGTCTTCTTGAGATATTTACACTCCGGGGACCACCCACATCACAGGATGTGTTTGAATTGCTCACCAAGCTTTCTTCTGGAGTCAAGATGAAATTACAGATTCTCTTTTTCCAGAACGCAAGAAAAATTAGCAACTTTCTGAATTGTTATTATTATTACAGAGGCGTTTTTTAAAAATAGGTCCCATTCTTGAAGACCTTTCAAGCACTGGGGGAAATCTTTGCACCTCTTCAACTCCTTTAACTGCTGGTTACTTAACCCTAGCTTGTAAAAAAATGCATAGAGGTAAAAACAAACTCCCCTTCTTTGTAAGCCAGTTTAAGCAGATTGAGGAAAGGGTATGGGAAGGGAGGATGAAATCCCCATTAGAAAAGATGCATTATTTTCTATGTTTATATGACAGTGAAATCCTTGTGGATACTCTTGTGCACTGAGACAATATATTTTAGTTTTAATTGTTTCAGTCAATGTCAATTTTACATCAAACATGCAATAAACTAAAAATGGCCTTTGGGAAACATCACTGAATCTGATTTTGTGCTGCAGTACTGCCAGTGTAAATATCTACTTCTGTTTTGTAAGCTCAAAGCCAAATGGAGCAAAATTTTCCTTTCAGAGAGTCTACTGACCTGTCAGCATCAAAAATATTATTTTTAGCATATAAAAATTGTTTGTCAGTGATTGCAATAACAAGAATCTTTGCAAAATCCATTATTACTCTAGTAAACATTTTCCCTTAGGCAGTAATAGTAGGAAATGAATTAAGAAGTTAGTTGATAGCAACTGGATAAGAAAAAATTACAGTGTGTCACATCTACAGAGTTATTGGGATGAAATATATTTTCTTTCTATTTAAATTATTAAATGTTTACAGTAGCTGAGAGAAAACATCAGATCTAAAGGATTTTGGTAAATTATAATTTATTCTACTGCTTGCTTTCCAGAATGCTAGAAGATGACCTCAAGTTAAGCAGCGATGAAGAAGAGAATGAGCAGGTAAGAACCAGACAACTAACATGTCACTTGTAGCATGTTTCATGTCGAGACTGAGCTCCTGTGAATATTTTGCTAATGCTTTTTCAAAACATACATAAAGGTTATCAAAATACACGGCAGTACTGTAACTGGAGTAACAGATGTTGCTGCTCGGAGCCAGCCCGTGTGTGCTAACTGCTGGATTGGTGGGGAACGGTCTGCAGTGCTCTTGATTTATTACCTTGATGTGACCCAGAAGGTTTTTGTATCAGTCTCCTTCTGATTTGATTTTGTTTTGTTTTAAAAAGCAGCCAAGGAGGGGAGAAACAGGAATTGTGGATTAAGGGTTCAGGCCAAACCTTGCAATCATGATCTGGCCCTAGGGATGAGCCACTGGGCTGCTTATTATGTCTTACCTGCCTAGAGCCTCGCTGGCATCCCCCCAGCCCTCGCCTCTCCTCTGAGCATTTTCGGTCCTGTCTCTGTGTGGCCCATGCATGCTAAGAAAGCTAAGGACAGCTGAGAGAAAGCCTTGGCTGTGCATTTTGTTCACTCCATAACACAGCAATTAGGGCGTTTGCCTGGGTTTTAACGACCCCAAACTACCTGACTAGGAGCAGATATGTCAGCCAAAGTTTTCCATGTGTCAGGACAGCTGGGTTTTGTTGGCGGGGGGAGGTGTCTCCCAGTTTTTCCTTAAAACATTGCTGTGTTTTGTCTAAATAATTAAGTACTCACTAGAATAGGGCTGGATCTTGACTTTCCCATGGCTGGCTGAGTGCCTCGTTGCCAAGCGGTGCTATGCCATGCCCTCTCCTTCTCAGTATACTGACATGGGCGTTTTGGTTGGGGAGGAGAGGGCAAGAGCCATTTCCCTTCCTTCTTGCACTAAAATGCATGTCCTGTGCCTTCGCTGGTGCATATGAGGGCAGTACTGCCCCTGGTTGCATCTCACAGATGGATCCAGACCTGTTTATAACTTGGGTTTCAAATGCGATTATTTCAGTCAAGTGTAACTGGAGCTATCTAGACTTCTGAAATTCAGGATCTTAGACAAATAATTCTAGGTATGTAGGCATGAAGCTTTTCCAGGGTTTTCTTTAACTCTTGTTATTAGAAGTCTCTATTTTACAACATATTCCAAACAACAGGTAAATCAAAACCTCTTAAGATTTATACTAAACTATTATTTCATCTATTTTGAGCAAAGCTTCTTGGTGTTAAGAAGATTCAGCACATAGATTCAATTATCTACATATTTATACAATTTCTTTTTGTTTAATGTATTTCATCCTGAAACACTTCACATTTAATTACTCTTCCTGCTCGTCTAGATAGTTTAAAATACAGCACATACATAGACAGCATAGGGCAAAGTAAAGTGAGGGACGGAAGGGATGTCTGAAGAATAACAATAGCACACGGAGGTGCTGTGGTACTTGCAGCAAGGGGCTGGGTGGGAGGGGAAGGGGGAGCCAGTGGTCAGGAAAAATGGTTTGTCCTTCAGGTAGGAAGGGAGATGGGATCCCGCGTAATGGATGTCAGTGTGGAGCAGGCAGAGACAGAGAGCTGAAATTCTAGTTTGCTTCATAACAAGCAGAAAAGGACATGGGAAACTGTATATTGTGCATGAGATAAAAGAACATGAGTAGTTTTAGGCAGAGAAGGGATTGTGGAAAAGTACTGCCGTGCACAGATGGCACCTTTGCTTTAGCACTACCACTTACAACTGTTAACATTTTTCATGCGCCTGGATGGCTCAGTATTATGTGTGCTATGCAAGGTCTTTGTTCAGTAACCAGAGCTTTAAGGTACAGCTGATACAGCCTGGGTCTTTCACGTCGGTCCTCGAACAAGCTCTACAGAGCCAAGACAGAGTTTGCCACCCGCGCAGCAGTGAGCAGAGCTGAGATCCCATTACTCATTTCTAATCGTCACGGGCCCTAGTGTGAGCAACCTTCGGCAATTACTTTGTGATTTAGTCTCCTTTCCTAGTCACTTTTTTTTTAACTTGACTGTACAGATAAAAATCTCCTGGAGGCACAGACTGGCTCCTGCTATATGAAATGATTTGCAGAACCTCAGCTGAGACCTGCAGGTTTGCTTAACGAACAATCCTAAATAAATATGCCTGCTGGATAAACAGAACACTACATTTCCATCTACCTAGCAGGAAAAAGGCCCAAAAAGGAATAACACAGAACCCCTCTGCCAATAAATGCACAGATTACAACATGGATCTGTGTCTAAATGTCAGTGGGAGAACCCATTTCCTTTTACTTCCTAATTCTGCGGCTCTTTAATCTCAGATCTCCTCCTCAGCTTGAGAACAGGAAATAAAGAAATCAAAGATGAAGAAATAGGAACAGTATATGAGTGATTCCCAGATACTCCTTGTGTCATAAATTAACCTTTGAGCAATCAGACTCACTTAAGTAGTACAATTTCTCAACGAGCTGAAGATGAGCTGTACAAGAACCAGGAAGCTTTTCATTTTGCTAATTTCTAAACAAGGAAGTTTAGGGGAAAGACTTCGAAAACTTTGGAGATTTTTGCATTTGCGTCTGAAATCACCAAGCAGCGAACAGAAAGTTTCTGTAGCAGTGCAAAGAGGGACAGGTGCTTCTGCACTCCCAGGGCTGACATTTGGAGGGCTGTGACTGACCCAGGGAATGTGAGCCATGGATGAGAGAGGCCAAATGCAAGACAGAGACATGATTAAGAGCTTCGGGACCTGCAGCAGGCAAGGCATTCTCAACCCTTCCCTCCGCGCCAGCAATTAAGGTAGTGAGATTCACAGACCCAGGAGAGGCAAAAGAGGCTGGGTTTGAGCTGAGTGTGTGTGCGCCCATAGTAATTACATTATCCACACATATTAGTCTCTTAATTTTAATTACATAAATGTATTTTTCCTCTTTAATGAGCATAGTTTATCCATTTAAACTGATCGTTTCAATTTTACAGGCAGTGATCACAGGATCTAATATGCAGGGGGAAAATTTCCTGTTGGCATATTTTACATCACGCAGATTGAAGAAAATATACTTTTTAATCCCCAATCAATATCTGAAGAGCATGCAATTAACAGATACCAAGGTAGTTAACATAAATCTGCAAGTTAAAGAGCCAATTCATTTTGATTTATAACACATAGAGTAATAATTTCATCATCGTCTCTCCCAGAAAGCATCTGAAGCTTTGTAGCATGAAGATGTCAAAATTGTACTTAAGATTGTTCGGAGTACTGAATTGTAGTGGTTATTGCCTTTTGGTTCCTTGAAGTGTGGCATAGCACATGAAACAGTCCCCATTATAATACCCTGCTCTTCTCCATAGAGGTCACTGGATAACTTAAATCAGTCTTGGGTGAAATATTAAAAGGAGATTGTCAATTGTAATATGAACAATTCTCTTTTTTTCCCTCTACTTGTCCTTTTACAATATGAAAATTTTGTAATAGAAAGTAGTTCCTTTAAGGGGAGAAAGATCCCTGGCATCATTTGTGCAATTCACGTCAATCAATAGCCAAATAAATTAACTGACTGCTACGCATACATGGAATAATAATCTAACATATTTTTGCAACCCAAGTCTGCTTCCTTGAGTGCATTTTTTCTGCGCAGGATCAGGTTGGTTGCCGCTGAAGTTTTGTGGCTGTGAAAATTTATTACCCACAGAGTCAATCTGCATTCTGGCTGCCAAGTCTGAATAAATAGAGTCATTGTGCTTGTCTGGAATATGTAACCAAAGTTCATCGAGTCAGCTTGACTTTCACATCCCATGGGATTCATAAAAGCCAACACCCTGGTATGTGCTCTTGATTCCTGCCAAAATTTTGCAAAATTGTATAAACAGAAGTTGAAGAAGCAATCAGAACACACTCCCAGGGACATGGCTCCACACTCCAGCCCCTGCTGTATCTCGAAAGGAAAGACCCAACTTTAGTACTTTTTTTTTTCTTTTTTTAAATAATCGTATGACTATCCCCCTGTGGCAGCAGGTACATGCAGGGGCTGAAGACACCCTCTGCACACAGTGCACGGGGAGGCAGCGAACAGTCCTCTCAGGTTCATTAATTTAACTCATGTGCCCTGCACCGAAGGAAGAGGGAAGGCAGTGTTTACCTGCAAGTGGCTGACCTCCTTAAGAGGGGACAGGGACATGCTGGCCCTGCAGGGTCTGAGCGGTGTCAGCAAAACCGGCCCCTCCGCAGGCCAGCCAAGACAAACAGAAAGCCCTGAACCTTCACAGGAGACCTCGGGGGAAGAGCAGCCTTGAGAAAGTTCACCAGGAACAGCTTCGGCGCAGTAAAATAAAAGTCTCGGCAGCCTGGTCTGGCTCACCACCCAGATCCCCACAGGGTGACGGCAGCCCACCCGGCCCAGTGCCACCCTGGAGGACCCATCCATGCTCCAGCACCACCCTGGACATGGCTGAGCCGGAAAACTTGATGCTAATTCAAGTTAACACCTGTAGCTCCAGTGGGGATGTATGTGCCTATGTTTCCTCCCTGTCATGGATATGCTGAGGGATGCCAGGGCTCAGCACTGGAAATGCATCTTTCCGGCAGGACTGTCTGCAGCATAGGCATTTAGGACCAGCCAAATCCATCCTGTTGTTGCAAGAGGACAAAAGTCCATCTACGTGGTCAATGGCAATTGGTGTGGCCATGTCCCTATGTAAACAGCATTAGGAAATTATTTGGTTTTTTAAGTCATAAAATCATGTTTCATTTCTTCAGTGGTAGCCAGAAACAAGTGAGAAAGAAAGTATGTCAAAATAATCTTTTTAATAATGTGTAGGACTTTTCCCTCTCACTTCTGGATGTGGACTGACAAATCAACAAAAACATTAAAATTATCCTGAAGTGAACGGTCATGCATCCACCTTCTTCCAGAAGGAATAGTTTTTTAGTAGAGTCTTTATAAGCACTACTTCTGCATATGAAATGTAATATTCTAGCTGATTTGAAGCCATCTGTAATGAATTTTGAAACAAATTGAAAAAGGGGCAAAGCAGAT